GGCCTACTACTAATATAATCCCTCCACCACTGATTAGCAGAGCCAGTCATCTGAAACGTTGTGTAGTCAACTCCATGAGACTCCACTAATCCAAGATTATGCAACCTCTCATGACAACTAACTATAAATTCATATGCATCCCCAGCTAAGTCACCAGTATAAGTAGGAGGATTCATTAGTCTGAACCTCCCAAACATCTTTTGCTCATCAATAGTCATAGAAGGCCTGTTCACCAAATGTGATGTCATATCTGGAAACTCCATACTATCAAAACTAGGAGCAACTATCGGGTCTGGAGTTTGACCTCCAACACGGGTCTGTGAGCCATCAGAACTGACAGGCAAAGCTCCTGCCTGAGCAATCCCCTCTAGGATTCCTAACATACGAGCCAAGGTATTTTGAAGAACTGGGGTGACAATAGTACTGGGTGGAGCCTAAGCTGGCCCATCCCCCTCGACACGATCTTGCGCATCCCCATGAATAACCTCTGCATCAGGAGGTACGTTCTTATCACGACCCTAGGTAGCTATTGGTACTTGAACATCCACAAGTGCTGCAATACGACTCCTACCCCGACCTCGAGCTCGTCCCCTACCTCTACCTCGGATAGTGTTCCTAGTAGCAGGCGTAGGAATAGGATCTGAAAGAATGAGATATTCAAGATTAGAATTTCTACAAGGTCAAGTGTGCATGATAATGAATATAAGAACTAAATATTTCTTAAATGTCCTATAGCCTCTCGAAGATAGGTATGGACGTCTTCATACCGATCCGCAAGACTCTACAAGATATTGCTCTTGTACTCTTGAGACCGATGAACCTAGGGCTCTGATACCAAATTTGTCACGACCCAAAAATCATGAGTCGTGATGGCACCTATGTTCCCAACCAATAGGTAAGCCAACGAACATATTTAACAAACTTAACAAACTGATGAGTGAAAAGACAACAATTAACCAAATCTCCAATGCTGAGTTCCTAATAATTACGAATGCGGAAAACTTAAAGAAATATCACCCAAGAGTTTGTGTCATAAGTACAAGACCTTCTAGAATACGATGCAAATCTGAAACTAAAATGACAAATCTAACATAAGGGATATCTTGTCTGAATACTGAATAGTAGAATAAGTAAAAGATAGAGGGAGATGTGGTCCACGGAACAGCCAACAAGTTCACCACAACTCCAAGACACTCTCAAACTCGGACTCAAACTGCTCCTACTCGGAATCGAATCTACACCACAAATAGTGCAACAAGTGTAGTATGAGTACAAAATCACGTGAACCCAGTATGTCTCATTGACCGACAACGAAGAAGTAGTGACGGGAGATTATATAAGAAAATAAATTCTTAACTTATACAAGTATATATATACACCTACTATTTTAGTTTTACCAATAAAGGAAATCAGCATAAAGTACTTTTCAAACACCAAACGAAACATATAATCATCATGAATGAATGATGTGATGAAATGCGATGCAATAAGATACCATGTAATGATATGTCCCACACTACCCAATACTCACTCAACCGTATATACATGATACTCTTCAGAAATACATCGAGAGATCATGACCCATGGGGGACTCTCAAGGTCCATATACCTACACGGACGATCTCCACATGTCTGTGCGGACGATCTCAATGCACCATCATAATATCAAACAATTTCCGCATGGACGGTCTCCACATGCTCAAATTACAATCTTAACATCTTACCATCCCCAGCATGGACTATCTCCACGTGCTCATCTTATACTCAATCTCATGTCAATGCATGTATAAAATATTATTTCAAAATAAGGGGATGATGATGCATCTCACTCAATCAATATCGATATAATACACAACCACCTCCATTATCACAACTATACGGGTGTAAAAAAATAAGAAAACACAATCACACAAAAATTTCAAGTCAATAATATATCATCTAATGCCCATATGCTTTGGAAAATTATCAAATTACAATCCACATTCTATAGTAGTAACTTTCTGTTTTATAACACCGGTACTCGTACCAATGTCCGTCACACCATTGATACGAGACCCCCAGCTTTTGCCCTTACCCCTTTGTCTATTTTCATTTTTAATCTTTAATTTGGAAAACGTCCATCAACAAGTCTAAAAAGTCTTAACATACCTTAGATGCCGAACTTGTGCCACGAATCTTTTAAGATTTTTCCTTTCCTTTTCGCAAGGTTTCGGAACGTTTCCAATCTACCAATTATGCAATATTCGTAAGAAAGCAATTTTTGTAAACATTCAAATTATTATATGTCTATCATAGACGCTAAAACTCACTCATACTTCTAACCAAACTTCAAATCTTGATATATAGTGGTATGCCAAATTTTTCATACTTGCTAAATTTCAAGCCAAGAACTTAAGTCTAACCTCTTCAAATGGACTAAAATTCAATGTTAGATCATATAAAATAACACCTAATAATTAATTACCTATCTCAATATATCAAACTTAAATCTTTATTTGATAATTAAAAAAAAACATCCTAAAAATATCAACAGTGAAGTGCACTGTTAACACGACCTTTGTTTCTTTTTCTTTTTTTTTCAATCTATTACGTACTGTATCTAATTCTAACAGAAAACATACCAAATGCCAATCATTGGCATTATTGCCTAATGATTGGCTTATAAGTTTGTCCCCCATTATTGATAAATATTACCTCCATAAGAAATAAATTAAACGCTTGACAGATGTACTTGAACCTCTCATCAATAATATATTAACGATAACAATTCAATTTACCCTTATTCAAGTTTGCAATTCTATTCTATAGAAAATTGTAAATAAAATAATCTTGATAGAGTTCTTTTTCCTTACCTGAACGACGGTTCTTCTCGGACGCCAAGGTATTGACTATTGAGTGAGCAGTTATCACTATTTCTGCTTCCCTCAAATTATGATATATTAATTTTAACTCCTCTAACTTGTTTCAATACATGGGCTAAATATTAAAGGTAGTGCATGAGTTATGGACTTAGCCCACTAACTATTAACTTATTATTTATTTAATAAAAGTTTCATCAATTGGGTATTCATAGTTATCGAATAGTTTAAAATTACCCCTTTAAATTTTCAAAAAGAGTCAAACTAGACCTAGTTCTCAAAACGACCTAGCGGGTCGTTACAAGCTCATATTGATAGCTCTATCAAACGTCATGTTGCCATATATTTGCCTTTACTAATTCAAACATTGTATTTATTTGTATTGGATTTATTTAGTAACAAATAACTCTCTAAATCATAAAATTTGTAAGCTAATTTATTTAGATAAATTTACTAGTACAAATATAAAATATATAAATCAAGAAAATAAACAAAATAATTAAATAGATTTCAGGGATATTTTTCTTTTAACAGAGATTAATTTCGTGGTATTAATCCTATGTATGAATAATACCACAAAATGGAAGGTATTGGTTGTCCATCCTATATGTGTCCATGCATTAGTTATATATAGGTTGAACTCTGCTACCAAACATAGTACTCCTTCCGTCTCATTTTATGTGAGGTAGTTTTACTCCCCACAAAGTTTAAGGAAAAAAAAGAAGACTTTTAGAACTTGTGGTACAAAATGAAATGATAAAAATTTGTGTGACTATAAATAAGGGTAAAATAAATATTTTAAAGATAAATTGTTACTTAATATAGAAATGTATCATTGTATTTGAGAATGATTAAAAAGAAAGTAAGTCACATAAATTGGACAAAGAAAGTACTTAATAATATATACATAATTCATGGACTATTTCTCGTAATACTCCCTACAAAACAATCCCTTAGTGTCTCTATCCCTATAGGCGATTCTTTAGTGGTACATCAGGTGTATCGGGGTGTGTATTGACACCATTAGGTTGTGAGACTTGGACGGGTTAGTTCCCTATGAAGTGATTCTAGGTTATTTTGTTTAGGTTGTGCCCTTATCTTATCCCGATTTACCTAGATAAGTGTGGAAGGTAATCTGAGTCCGTGTCTGAAAGGAGTGATATTTGTTCGATGTGTTCATCACATGAAGGAAAACAATTGCTTATCATATTTGATTCATGGTTGTGATCTTATAAAGGGTCCTTCTTTTTTAGAGACCACGAGGTGGTAAGAGATTTGTAGACGTGTTTATTATAGATTTATCGGGTGCAACTTCCTTGTTATCTTCTAACTTGTCTGTCCAAAATAATAATCGGATCTTCTTCATAAGAAAAACTTTCCTTAATACCAAGACTCTCCAATGGTACAATCGATGTCAAATTTTCAACACACTTCTTCAACAAAGAGATATAAAATACCGAATGTACTGATGTTAAATCATTAGGCAACTCAAGTTTGTATCTTTACTGATACACCTCGAAATTTGATATGAGCCCACATACTAAGGAATAAGATTCCCTTTATTTCCAAGCCTCATGACACTCTTCATAGGTGAAATCTTCAAGTAAATCTAATCATTCAACATCAAAGTCAAAATCCTTTCTTCTAACACCGACATAGGACTTTTGTTGACTTTGAGCCATTGTCAACCCTTCTCTAATAAATCAAACTTTCTCAATAGCCTCATGTACCAAACCAGCACCTATTAAAGCAACCTCATCAACTTCAAACCAACATATAGAAGATATACACCTCCCTACCATATTAAAGAGCTTCAAATAAGGTCATATCAATACTTGATTCTTATATGCAAGCTCAAATGAAGAAAAATGATCATTCCAATTACCCCTGTAGTCAAACACAAAAATCTCAATATATATTTCAAAATTTGGATAGTACGCTCCATTTGCCAATCGATATGAGAGTCAAAGGACATACTAAGCTTGACACGAGTATCAAGACACTATAAAAACCTCAATTTATGGGGTCCATTTTGTCAATTTATGACATTTTTTATATTTGTTATTTAATTTATTTCTTATATATAAAATACAATATTTTCCTCATCCATTAAATTGCTTCAACGTGGGTGAATATTAACAATACAAAATATCTTTTATGTAGAAATTTTCATCCAACCTTAAACAACTCTTCATCTTCTCCTCTTCTCAACAGAGATAGTCCAAGTTCAAGTTTGTGTAGTCTCCTGTTGTTTAAATTACAGGTAAGTTGTTCATGATTTTTTTGGTCTTTCTCTTATATATATACAGTGTATATATATAATAAGTAATATATCTTTTGTCCTTTCTGATTCATATAGCTATCTGTTAGGAATTATGATTTCAAGAAACTTGGATTAACATGTTTATTTTTTTAATTTTATTTACATCATTTTAGTTGAGTTTGTCTATATAAATCTGGTGTCCACATTCACATTATTGAGATGGTGTCGATATGATTTATTTAAAATAGACTACTTTAGTGAATCTATCTCAATCTGTGTCTCTTATTATCTTGGGAGTTTATATAGGCAGTAACTGATCACTTAAGCTTAATTTTGTTTGTGTTGGTTTGTAGCACATTTTTTTCTCTGAATTTTATGTTGTAGCCTTAATTTAGATGAATACTTCTTGTTAATTGGTAACAAATATGAAATAGAATAGAGTTATATGTTTGTCCCCAATCTTTAACAATTATTTGTTGTTTGTTTTCTCTCTTTGACTGTTGACTTTAAATAATGTATTAGTACTGATAACAATCTTTTGCTTAGTGTTAACAAAAGCTAACTTTCATCACTTTCTGTTATTCATTCAGTCTATATAAATTATATCTTTACAAAATTAAGCAACACATTTTGAAAGTACAATTTTGTAGAGATCTAAAAGTCAACAATCAACGACCTTGAAATACAGTAATAACAATAATAACAATTATGCCAAAGTCTCAAACATGTAGGGTCATCTATATGAATCCCAACAACATTAAAAAATAACAATATTATGATGTGTTGTTTAAATCAGCCTTTGCATTTGTATCACATTTGATTAATGATTTATACTATTAACCTTATAGAATTTTGACTTTGTTACCATAGTTGCTTGTTTGCTTGTATGTTTCACTTTACTCTCAGTGTGTGGTAAGTATTACTTAACTAATACCTTATTTAACAGACCTTTATTGACTTGAGCCACCAGAACACTTTATGAAGTTTATATAGGCAATGAATTTTAGGGGTGATGCATGATTACTCGTGATTCGTTGCTCTAAGTTATCTTCATTTTTTTTCTGTCTCAGAGAATGATTCAAGATATTGCCTACTTTATTTGTTGTTTGTATTAGAAATGATGATAGCATTCTTTTGGTTGGCATTGACAAAAGCTAACCTCATGGTTGGAGGAGAAAATGGGAACATGCCAAAATAAGAATATTTGTGACTGTCTTTTCCATGTTATTAACAGAAAAAGACGATCGCTTTCGTTATCCATTCAATCTAATGAAATTATACTCTTGACAAAATTAATCAAGATAGTTGCAATTCAACAGGCTGAATGTACAAGAATGTTCTAAAGCTCATAGCTTTATCAAAATCCCAAATCAGTAGTCACCTAAAAGCCAACAATCAACAATATTGAAATACAATTATAATGATAAAAATAATTATGCCCAAGTCTCAAACATATAGGGTTGACTATATGAATCCTCATCGACCACAATAAATTATAATAATACTATTATAGTTTGTTGTTTAAATCAGCCTTACATTTTTGGATGTATTAACTTATTTTTCTTACTAGACATGTATGTTATGTTAGATTTAATATATGGTTCGAACTATTAAATTTACAGAATTTTGACTTCGTTGTGGTGGTTATTTGCTCCGTGTTTCATTTGTCTCTCGGTGTGTGGTAAGTATTACTCAACTAATTTCTTATTTAAAATTATTACTATTATGTAACAGATAATTATTTTGCGTAATTATTTTAATCTCAAAGATGTCAAGTCGTAGATATAATAAAAATGTGCATTCTTTTCAAAAATAAAATGTGGATAGAAATGCTAGGTGACGTGAACTATACAAATTGATGCCACCTGATAAAAAAGAAATTCTTCTGACACGCCGTCGAGCAAAGAGAGTTGAAATGAGAAAATATAACATATCTGAAATTTCAATGAATAATGATTTGGCTACTGCGTCGTCCTCTAATTCCACCATTGCTTTAGTTGTAGAAAGTTCTGATCTTATGAGAGAACCCATTTTCAATATTCAGAAATAGGTAATAAAATACTATGTCATCATAAATTAATTATAAAAAATTAAAAGAGGTATCAAATTGTCAATATTGTAAAGCCATAAAGTTTGAATATAAACCACCTGCGTTTTGTTGTAGCAATGGTTCTGTTCAATTAACTTCACATGATATTTCAATAGAATTAAAAAACCTTTAACGGGAAAATACCGAGCTGTCAAAACATTTTAGAACTTACATTAGAACGTACAATAATATATTTGCTTTCACATCTCTTGGAGTAACTTATAACAAAGAATTAGCAAAAAGAAATAAAGGTATTTATACTTTTCGAGTTCAAGGTCAGATGTATCATTTCATCAATGACTTGATTCCTATTGACAAAAAAGGAAAAAACCTCCAATTGTATTTCTTTGATAGTGAAAATGAATTAAGAAATCGAATGGCATGTTCAAATAAATTAAATGAATTTGTTGTGAGAACTTTGATGAAAATATTAAAAATTAATTCATACTCTATGTTTTTAAAATCTTTAGTAGATGTTCAACAACTATCTGACTTTTATATTGCACTTAAGTGTGATTCTTGCTTAGATCAACGTATATATAACTTACCAACTATATCAGAAGTTGCCGGAATATGGGTAGAACAAGATATTTCTAACTCTATTCCTACACCACATATTCGAATCTATACAAAAAGTGATAAAATTCAATTGATTCATTATTATTACAGTTGTTATGATCCGTTACAATATCCGTTGATATTTCCATATGGTCAAGGTGGATGGCACTGTGGTATTAAGAAAATTAAGTGTTCTTCAAAAACATCAATACAAATCTATTGCGAACAAGAACAACTACCAAGTAAAAAAAATATGTGTTCAATAGACAAACTACTTAACATGGAAGCCGAAGTTATGTTAATAGAAAAGCATAAACGATACAGTATTTCTTGTCGTGAACATTATTGTTACAAACTTCAAATAAGAGATAATGAAAATATTGTCTTACATGCAGGAAGATTATTTCAACAATATGTAGTAGATGAACGGATAAAAATTGAAAGCCAACGATTAGACTTTGCTTCTTTTAATCAAGCTTTATTTAGGATTGATATATCAAACAAAATTTCGGATGTTTTATGTAACGGGGAAAGAGAAGCTTCACATATGGGAAAACAACGTATAATTCCACCTAGCTTTACGGGAGGTCTAAAAGACATGCGTAGATGGTATATGGATGCTATTGCATTAGTGCAATTTTTTGGAAAACCTGATATATTTTTAACTATAACATGTAATCCTTCTTGGCTTGAAATAGCAGAAAAACTTATATCAACCGATGAGGTACAAAATAGGCGAGGTCTGGTTAGTAGAGTGTTTAGAGCAAAAATAGAAGAATTGAAAAATGATATAATTAAAAGGCGTATTTTTGATAAAATTGCAGCATTTATGTATACAATAGAATTTCAGAAACGAGAACTTCCCCATGCTCATTTTCTTATCATACTAAACGAGAATTACAAATTACTAACTCTAGAAGCATATGATCGATTTGTATGTGCTAAAATACCATATGAAAATATATATCCCTATTTATATTCACTTGCTACACAACACATGATGCATGGTCCTTGTGGTAATTTGAACCCAACTAATTCTTGTATGAAAAAAAAATACTGTAAAAATAAGTATCCTAAAGAGTTTGTAAAACAAACAACCAAAGGAAAGAATTCATACTCAATTTATAGAAGACGAAATACAGGCAAAATTGTGAAAATTATTGGACACTTTCTTGATAACTTGTGGGTTGTTCCTTACAATCCATATTTGCTTTGTAAATTCAATTGTCATATAAATGTAGAGATTTGTTCAGATATAAAAGTTGTTGAGTACATTTATAAACTCATTTGCGAAGGGCATGATAAATAGCGTTTCATATATAGACTAATGATGTAAACGCAGAGATAGATGAAATAAAAGAATATCAATCTGCTAGCTGGGTATCACCACCTGAAGCTGCATGGAGAATATTTGCTTTTCCTATAAGTGAAATGAATCCAACTATATATCACCTACAACTACATCTTGATGGACAACTAGTTTCCTTCAAAAGTATCAATAACATTAGTAATATTGCAAATAATCCCATTATAAGAAAAATAATGTTAACTAAATTTTTTTTAGTGACTAAATCAAACAAACAAGCTATGAACCTAAATTTATTATATAGTGAATTTCCTAAACTTTTGGTATGGTCAACAACAGATAAAATGTGAACACGTCGTAAACGAGGTCACGTTATTGAACGTGTAGTGACATGTCATCAACCGAAGGAGAAAGATACTATCTTAGACAATCGTTAATGAATGTAACGAGGCAAAAATCATATGCGAAGTGTAAATGGAGTAAAATATAGTTCATTTAGAGAAACTGCTGAAAAACAAGAACCATTACTTTGTGATAATAATTTGGTAGAATGTATATATGAAGCTGCAAGTTATCCAATGCCATCCAATTTAAGACAATTATTTGCTAGTTTATTGATTTATTGTAATCCAACAAATCCTAGAGAATCTTGGGAGAGATTGGAAAGCCCTATGTCTGAAGATTTTAATAAAAGTACAAATATAAATGTAAGAGAAATACATTATAAAGTATTAAATTTATATTAATGATATTCTTCATTCAATAGGTCGTGACATTAATGAATTTTAACTAATTTCAGAATATATCAAACCTTCATCAATAGCAAGAGAGGCTAAAGAAGTTCATTATGAAAGAAATATCATCGTTAGTGAGGAAGATTTATTATAAAAAAAATAAATTGAACTCTGACAAAGAAAATCTTACAATATTATTCTTGATAGAGTATTGTCAAATAAATTTGGATCTTTCTTTATTGATGGCCCCAGTGGAACGGGTAAAAGTTTTTTATATCGTGCTTTATTAGCTACAGTAAGACATAAGGGATTGACAACTTTAGCAACTGAAAATTCTGGTGTTGCAGCTTCACTTCTTCCCGGAGGTCGAATTGCTCATTCTTGATTTAAAATTTCTATTGATGTCGATGAAAATTTTACTTGCAATATTAGTAAACAAAGTTCACTGGCATCTTTAATACAAGATGCACGATTAATTATGTGGGGTGAAATTTCAGTAGCAAAAAATAAAATGGTTGAAGCATTTGACTTACTATCAAGTGATATTATAGAAACCAATACGTTATTTGGTTGTAAAATAGTTTTTTTAGCGGTGATTTCCGACAAACACTTTTTGTTTTTCGTAGTGGAAAAAAAGAGGATTTTATTCGTGAATGTTTATTGTGTTCTGAAATATGGAATGAACTTGAAAAACTACAATTATCAAAGAATATGCGTACAACTAAAGATCCTGAGTTTTGTGAATTTTTAATGAGAATTGATAGTGGAAAAGAAAAAACAAATGACCATGGAAAAATTGAAATTCCTCATTTTCTCATTATTCCTTTTACTTCTAAAAAAGAATTTCTAAATCTTCTAATTAAAAATACTTATCCTGATTTATACAAATGTTGTACAAAAACTTCGTTTGTTACTTCTCGTGCTATTCTAACAACTAAAAATGATTTTGTTGATGACATAAATTACATGTTGATCTCTCAATTTCCAAACATTGAAAAAGTATATATTGCTATAGATGAAACTATTGATCCAAAGAATCAAAGTGAATACAAAAATTTCTTACACACTTTAAATCCTACTAGTTTACCTCCATTCAAATTAACTTTAAAGAAGAATTGTCTGATTATGTTACTAAGAAATTTAAATTCATGTGAAGGTTTTATGCAATGGGATACGCTTAATATGTAATGATTTAAACCTCACGTTGTGCAACAATATCCAACAGTGATTTTAAAAATACTCATGTATTTATTAGACGAATACCACTCATGACTTCAGAAGATAAAAACTTGCCACTTCCTTTTAAAAGAATGCAGTTTCCTGTGTGATTATGTTTTGTCATGACTATAAATAAAGCTCAAGGACTAACATTAAATTTTGTTGGTATATATTTACGCGAACCTGTCTTCTCTCATAGACAATTGTATGTTGCTTTATCAAGAGCTACAAGTTTCGACAATGTCAAAGCATTCATAGACCACGTACAATTGAAAAAAATGACGATCATTCAACATATAATGTTGTCTATAATGAAATCATTGAAAAAGCATTTTCTTCATCTATGTGTTATAATTTGAAATGGTAAATCTTATATACAACTTACATACCCTATATGTATATTTTTAATGTATTTATATTATTATTAATATTGCTTTCATTATACATATTTGTCTTTAGTTTATCCTCTTATAATGTATTTTAATTGCAGATATATTGCAACATGACGGAAAGATATACCATCAATATGATCACTCCAGATACTAAAAGTTGAACCTGTAAAGCCCAAGTTGTTGATAAATGTCGACCAAGGGATAACAAACATAAAACCACAAAATATCAAGTCTTAATTCTGCAAGATGAAGAGGTATTTATTTTTAACAAAATATATTATTGATTTTAAAGCTTGACTTTAATTGAGTTAACTAAATAATCCATCATTTCATATTTTTACTTTAATAATATAAAAAAATTAATAAGAGAACTTTAAATTCTACAAAGCTAATCAAACTTTTAACAAATTCTTTTACAGGAGAATCAAGTTCAGGCCACCATTTTCAGTACTGATATAACATATTTTGAAAAAGAATTAGCTCCTTTCAAGACTTACTTGGTATTTGTTGCACATGTGAAAGTCCCGCCTCTTGGACACGAAAATCCACTTAACAAATTCATTTGGACACTCGACAAAAACACCATTGTTGAACCAATTGAAGAGGTCAAACCTTCAGAGGATCCATTACCACACCCAACACGATTGACTCTTGCTAAATTTGACACTTTCGAGTATCAACCCAAAAAATTTGAATTTGGTATTTATAAATTTATTTAATTATTTTTACTATTATTCACATAAAATCTAATTGTTATTATAATAGAATAATTCTCATGATCCAATTATTGTTTTTCTATTTTTGTTCAATGCAAGATGTACTTGCCATCGTCATTAATGACAGAATGACAGTCCTTCAACAAAGACAACAACTGGAAAGCGACTTTAAGAGTTCATTGTCATGGAGGGACTGTAAGTATACATACATATATATATATATATATACATATCACTCTTGTCATTTATCTTTGTATCTTATTACTTGTTTTCAATGAAAGGTTCTTTTTGGTTAATATAGCTCGCTTTTTCCTTTTTGTTTTTCGTAGTTGATATATTTGTATTTAATAAAGTTATTACATTTTTTTCAAATTTCAGCAACTTTGTTTTTGTAATCGTCTTCTCCAAATGGGTAATCCTGATTTTTGAGATTTTACCTATAGTTTTAGCAGTGTTCTTTGTTTATTGCTAAGATTGTTCTTTTTCTTCATTTTAGTTTTTATTTATTATTAATTTGTGCATCTTCCCCTCTCTTTTGTTAATGAAGTAATTTCACTGAATACCTTGTTTCTTTGAGTCATTGAGCATCGATTTTCTTCCTGGTTTATTCCTGCCCTTTTTATTTTAGATAAATCACTCTCTAATATTGTCGATATAGTCTGTTAAAGAGGAATATACTCATTGCCCTGTTTGATTTGTTTCTATTGGTAGTATGATTTTCTCTTATTTCTTGAAGATCAAGATTGAATTTTGATCAACAACTAATGATATTCAAGTTTATTAAGGTTCCTGGTTCATGTTCTCTTTACAAGGCACAATAAGTGAGATTAAGTGTCTGTTAATCTCAATTTTCAATAACTTTAAATTTCTCAGAAGTACACTTATCTTAATTTGGTTAATTTTATCACAAAAAGTTCATATTAGATTACCTATCAGGATATATTGTCCATCACTTTGAATATCTGTAGTACTTTCATGGATTAAAAAGTTCATCAATTTCATTGTTCAACCGGATTGTTTCTTTGTTTGTGCATCTCTATTTTTAACTTTTATATAAAAAAAATGTTGATATTTGTTGATAATAATATAATTTGATTTTTATAATTTTTAATATAATATTGTTTTAACAATATCACACATCTTTTGTAATTTTTACTTATTGTTTAATAACGTCCGGTGAAACATATGCAGGAAAAAACCAACAAAATTGACACTTTGGGAGGATTATGTTGATCATGAGGTAGTTAAAACTTTTTGTCACAACCCAAAATGAGTCGTGAGTGGCACCCACACTTACCCTCCTATGTGAGCGAACCAACCAATCTAAACCCCAACATTTCAACCATAATAAACAGAATATAATGCGGAAGACTTAAAACTCATTAACGAAATTAATTAAATAACTTCTAAAATTTATTAATTACTATCCCCAAAATCTGGAAGTCATCATCACAAGAACATCTATCCTCAAATTACTAAATCTAAGAGTATCTAAGAAGCTAAAATAATTAAAAAGCTAGTTCATGCCGGAGCTTCAAGGTATCAAGACATGAAGAAGAGGATCCAGTCCAAGCTAGAAGCATTAGCTCACCCTGAAACCTGGTATGATGAAGACTGGCTAGAGTTGCGGTTGAGTTGAAGACGACGGTACGTTTGCTGCACTCCACAATTAACAAAAAGAAAACATAAAAGTAGGGGTCAGTACAAACACAAGTACTGAGTAGGTATCATCGGCCAACTCAAAATAGAAAGCAATATATATCAGATAATATCATAAAATCAACTACAATACTCAACAGGTGGCAACAACAATGTGCAAGAATCATTGATAAATAACGTCAAGTACACCCATGAGGACTCAAGCCTCCATACCATACTCACTTGGGAAAATAGGTTCATTACTTTGAGTATATTAACATATTTCAAGATTCATTCTCTTTACTACCCTGGTGTCGGAACGTGACACTCCGATCCTCATCATACTATCCTGGTGTCGGAACGTGACACTTCGATCCTTATCATACTATCCTGGTGTCGGAACGTGACACTCCGATCCTTATCATACTATCCTGGTGTCGGAACGTGACACCCGATCCACTAATACTATCCTGGTGTCGGAACGTGACACCCGATCCTCATCATACTATCCTGGTGTCGGAACGTGACACCCGATCCACTAATACTATCCTGGTGTCGGAACGTGACACCCGATCCACTAATACTATCCTGGTGTCGGAACGTGACACCCGATCCACTAACCTCATTCTTTTAGTTCATCAAGCCTTCCTTTATACCAAGGCATCATGTCACGACCCAAATCGGTCCGCGACTGGCACCCACACTTACCCTCCTATGTGAGCGAACCAACCAATCTAAACCTTAACATTTCAATATAA